TCCCCCCAGGACATTTAAAGTATTTCTAAAAAAACCCCACACACACCCCTAGAACTGCAGGAGACATTAGGACTTTAGAGACACAATGCACCAACAGGAAGTGTAAGGAAACAGACTCCCTACGACACTTCATAGCCAGCTCTTACAAGACGAGTTCAATGAAAGACCTTTTCTCCCCCCATTTGTTCCTTCCCCCAAGAATCTTCCACCCACCCCATATCCTCTTTCCTCACCTGGGTTGAAAGCCTCTAAAGGGAAGAGGCAGGACAATGCAGAACCTCAGCTGAGACTAACAGCAGCTACAAGCGTCAATAGGGATTTTAAGCAACAAGAAACAGCTTCAGCGAGGGAGCAGTTCTACTGATCCACTACATCGCTTGGAGGTCTATTAACACAATCCTCCTTAAGTAGGTCACTGCATCTCAAGAAGGACCAGTCCCCCACTCGGTCAGCGTGACAAAAACTGAAGCCAAATTGAAGTTCCTTATGGCAACTGCTGACCCATTTAGTCCAAAGTGTCTCTCACCCTGCTGACAGCAGCAGCTCTTTGTCTAAGCAGCAGAACCCGTTTCTGTTCCAACCCTGTGAGACTTTTCAGGCAGTTTCTCCCTTGCAGAGCTGCCAACTGTTGCAATTTTATCACTAGTTGGCATTTTTCTTAAAGCCCCAGCTCCTGGAGGTAGGGGATGGTGTGAGAATCTCAACTTGCATTTTTAAACTAGGATTCTAGCCCCCACATTGTAGGCAAAAACCTGAAGACCCACGTGCACCCTAAAGGCTCAGAACTCAGAAGCCAAATAAAAGAACCCTCAAATATTTAGCTTTAAAAAACTCTCATGATTTTCTCAGGCCTGACAGGATTTTTGTCTGTTTGCAATTGGCAATGTTGTGCTTGCCAAGATGAAACGCCCTTCTCTCCCAACGCAGAGTCTGCCCATGGCTATATCAAATGCTCCAGATGAACGCACGTTCGGTTTGATCTAGCTCCTGACGAAGCCAGTGGGGTAGAACTGCCCTAGCAAGGCTGGAACCCACTCGCCCGATCAAACAGCCTCATATGGGAATTCAGCCGGCCATCTCCCCGGAACACAAACCGGCTGTCCTAATGCCAGAGAGAACTGATGCACCGCAAAGGAGACAACCGTGCTGCTTTGAACTGTGTTGACACAAGGGGCTGGTGTTTCATTTTACTCCCAGGACTCCAGCCCAGAGTTTTCGGAGATTTGGCAAATGGTAATTTTCTTGGAGCGCCATAGACACAGCTGGAAACAGAAATTGCAATCAAGGCAGCTTCTGAACAAGCCTCTCACACAACTCAGTAATGTCCATGTTTGAGGAGAGACTTATTTTTAAAAGGCCTTGTAGTCTGGTTATAGCTCATAAAACACAAGCCCTGTAGAACTTTAGAATAGATGTTAAATCTACTGCGGAGCTTCACTTTGCAACAATCAGAATCTCTGCAACCATCTCAATACTGGCAAGCGTAATAACCTGTTGGAAAACTTACGAGGCAGACAGTGGTTGCTGTAGGTCCCCTTTGGCTTATTTATCTGGCCCAGAGTCCTTGGTTTTCCCCTCCACATCTGCCTTCCGCCTCATATTAAATTAGAGCTGTAAGATTAGTAAAGGAAGAGAGTGCAAGAATCTAAAATGCAATACTGCAAAGAAAATCCCCAACTGAAGCATAATAGAGCATACACGTAAGAGGTATTTGACACAGAAGACACTTCAACAGCCATACCTGCCAATTGGTGTTATGGAGCAGGGAAATCCCTTTTATAAAAATAAATCTATCGTTCCTCGGCAGGAGAAACACCAAAAACAAACCAGTCCTTTTCCCCCGACTCAAATCTGGTGTACTTCAATAGGTAAAATCATTTCCTCATCTCCCCCAACCCCCTTTATAGTTAAATTAGGCTCTGACCCTGTAAACACTTATACACATGCTTAAATTTTAAGTAAGGAAATAGTCCCATTGACTTAAAGGTAACCGTATTAATATTTGCAGGATCTGGGCCCAAGTTATTGACCAGACCCTTGAGAGAGGGTTTTCATTCAAATACTTGCCTTTAAAATACCAAAGTGCGATTGAAAAAAAGAAAAGAAAAGAAAACCCCCAAACAATAAAAGTGTGCACGCACTTCGAAACGCCCTCCAAATTTCCAACTGTATCTCGGACCTAGTTTTCAGAGCTGTTCTCATCTGGTCTACAGGTATATAATTTCTTATCTGTGCATATCAATACTAGCAGAACTAGTTCTGTTTAAGACGTCATTCAGCCTCATAACATAACGTAACAGCCTCATAACTGGTCCCACTATCCAGTACCACACGACAGCATTTATTTCAAATGTTACTATGTCAGCCTTAATAAAGTGTGCCCTAAAATATTAAGGCCTAATGGATTTATTTTCATACTGTTCCTTAATATGTTATCATACTTGGGGTCTGATCCAAAGCCCATTGAAGTCAACAGAAAGATTTCCATTGACTTCAGCAGGTTTGGGATCAAGTTCTTTGGTCATATCTTCCGGGACCGCTCTTCAGTGTGCAAGTGTGATTCTGCTCTTGCATGTTTGCAGATAGGAAACTGCACATTAACTTCACATTATCCAGCATATGGATGTATGCTGAGGAGACAAAGAAGGAAAGAAGCAGAGTTTAATGCAAGATTTCTGTATGGAGAGGTGTTATGAATCCATTCCTTCTACACGATTAGGGATCAGATAGGAAATCTATATTTATATTCTGAATCTGGTACCTGCACATCTCGTGTTCTGCATTCACTGTTTCTTCTCCAGGTAGAATGGACTACAGCAAGCTACTTCTTATGATACTTTATCTTTTTGGTCATAGTGCTTGCATGATTCTCAGAATTTCCATCTGACTTATGCTCGTTTGTGTTGCTACCACCCGAAAGTGATTAATGCAATTTGCATAGTAGCTCCCAGAAATACATCTGGGAAGGGCCAGTCACATCATTAGGCCTTTATAATAATAGAATTATCCTAATACTACTTAGCACTTATGTAGCGCTTTACATGTTCAACGCGCTGTACAAACATTCGAGTTCTGGCAAACTGTGGGGTCCCTAATGATCCAAAGGGATGACAGAGTTGCTTATAAAATACTGTACACTTTTACAAGTTTGACAGCAAATGTAGTCAATAATAGATGGTTTAGGGTCATTCCTACAACTGGACCCAGGTAAAATCCTCTGTTCCTTACTTCACTGGGACTCAGGGTGATAAATTCACATTAAAATCAGAGTTTCAAAGAAGTTCTGTCGCTGTTTACGTTTGTTATTGTTTCTAAACGTTACTAATACAACCCCTCACCCACAAAATATTTTTAGTTTATCAATAAAACCAGTCAGGGCTGGGTTTTCAAAATATACTCCAGGAGCATTTCCCACCCAATCCTCCAGGTGCAGGAAGGCCAGAAATGAAACTGAAAACAAGAAAAAGGGAAATGACACCTAAGTGCAGTCAATCTATGGAGGTAACTCCCCAAAAAGCCCTCAAGCTCTATGCCGCGAAACAACAACATTCAAGCTGTAAGCTCCTGAGGTGTCACAACCAGGGTTACAGCCCAACAGGAAGGGAAGCATCTGGGGTTCTGATTTTTTAACTAGGAGATGGTTTTCCCCTGACTGTCCTTGTTCAGGATCAGGGGGTAGCCGTGTTCGTCTGTATCCACAAAAACAACACGGCGTCCGGCGGCACCTTAAAGACTAACAGATTTATTTGAGCATAAGCGTTCGTTTTTAACCCACGAAAGCGTATGCCCAAATAAATCTGTTAGTCTTTAAGGTGCCACCAGACTCTTTGCTGTCCTTGTTCAGTCGCCTTCAAGGTGATTCCAAGCCCAGCCCTGAAGTTAACACAACTGCCCGGCCAGAGGCAGACACACCCTGGCCCAGATCAACTAGACAGGGCTGGTGCAGCCCCAAAAGGGATCTCTCCTGCGGCCCAGAACAGACACACAGAAGGGTAGGGTGACCAGATGTCCCAATTTCATAAGGACAGTCCTGATATTTGGGTCTTTTTCTTATATAGGCTCCTATTACCCCTTATTACCCCCCACCCCCGTCCCGATTTTTCACACTTGCTATGTGGTCACCCTACAGAAAAGGGGGTGGGAGACATTTCCCCCCACCCCAGCTCAGACACGTTTCCTCCCCCAGCTGGAGATCATAGACTATCAGAGCTGGAAGGGACCTCAGGAGGTATCTAGTCCCATCCCCTGCTCAAAGCAGGACCAAGCCCCAGACAGATTTTTGCCCCAGTTCCCTAAATGGCCCCCTCAAGGATTGAACTCACCCCCCTGGGTTGAGCAGGCCAGAGCACTGAGCAATGGGGGGGACTCTTGCCGCAGCCATAATGCAACGGGCCGGGGTGTCCCCAGGGGCGAGCCCCGCCGCCGAGCCCGCCCCGGCAGGGGGGGACCTGCCAAGAGCCACGTACCCGCTCGGATCCCCGCCGCCGCCGCTCCCAGCAAAGCCGCCGCGCTGCCGAGCCACCGCCGGCTCCCGCAGACCATGGTCCAGGGCGGCGGGGCTGCCCGGCGGCGGGGTTACATAAGCGCCAGCCCCGGCCGCCCCAGCCCCTTTCCCTTTCCTCCCTGACCCGCCGCCAGCCAATCGCGCCGCCGCGCGCAGGACCGGCCCTCCCCGGCGGGGCGTGCGAGCCTGGCCGGGCCGGGCTGCAGGGAGGCACCGCTCCGGTTGGGTGGAAGTCCCCGCGGGGCTCCTCTCTCCCGCGCCGCCCCAGGCCCCGGCCCCCCGCACGCTCAGAAACGCGGCTGGCTCCTTGGGCACGTCCCTCGGTCCCGTTCCCACGGTCCTTGCACGCCCGCGGGTTGCACGGCTGCCCCATTGGCGGGGGGGACCCAGCCGTGCACCGACCCAGCAGCCGCCGCTACCTAAGGAGGGGTGGGGGGGGGGAGGCTTTGCCTGCTTAACTCACTTCTCTTGTGATTGTGTGTGTGTGTGTGTGTGTCTTGTCTCCACTTTGTTCACCTTGCTGCTGATTGCATGAGGGACGAGGGGCCCTGTGCAACTTGCCCTGGTGCATTTTATTCCTTCAGACGGTTGGGGTAAGCCATACAGTCCCCATTGCACAGCATTGGAGATGAAGGTAATAATGCGCTGATAAGCAGCGGGGAGGGGGGCTGGCAATGCATTACATTCGCTGATTGCAAGGGGGAAAAGCGGGGGTGGAGCCCTGTAGTCCTATACAACTCTATGGTTTTCAGCTGAGAGCAAGTGGATTGGTGCAGAAAGAAATGTCTCCTCTGGCCAGCCGTAGCTGTCAGATGAGTGTTCTGCCCTGGTCACAGTTCATCAGCTGACACACAGGGAAGTTTGCAGGGCTCATGGCTTCGTCCAAGTCTTTGGCCAAGTTCTGGGAATGGGGCAGAAACATCATCTGCGTAGGGAGGAATTATGCAGAGCATGCCCAGGAGCTGAAAAATGCTGTCCCCAGCGAGCCCCTTTTTTTCCTGAAGCCTTCCTCAGCCTATGTCCGGGAAGGAGACCCCATTATCAAGCCTTACTACTGCAACAATCTGCACCATGAGGTGGAGCTGGGAGTGGTGATTGGGAAGAAAGCCCATGCTGTCTCCCAGAAGTCTGCTATGGACTACGTGGCAGGTTATGCCCTGTGCTTGGACATGACAGCCAGGGACACCCAAGCTGAGTGCAAGAAAAAGGGCCTTCCTTGGACCTTAGCCAAAGGCTTCAATACGTCGTGTCCGGTGAGTGATTTTGTGCCCAAGGAAAAGATTCCAGACCCACACAAGCTGCAGATCTGGCTCAAGGTAAATGGTGAGCTGAGGCAAGAAGGGGAAACCTCTTCTATGATTTTCTCTATCCCCTACATCATCAGCTATATCAGTGAAATCATCACCCTGGAAGAAGGGGATCTGATTTTGACAGGTAGCCCCAAAGGTGTTTCTGCCGTACAGGAGCATGATGAGATACAAGCTGGAATACACGGCATCCTCAGTATGCAGTTTAAGGTGGCACAGCAATTGCGCCAATCTTGATGGGGGAATCTGTTCGTTTCGTTTTGGGGAGCACTCTACAACAGCCTTTTAAAACAGCCAAAGAATGAAAAAATACCTAGATGTCTGTTCCCCAGCAGCCTAAAAGAATGTATCGCCCAATCCTCTTGGAAACAATGAAGAACCAAATGTACTGAGCTAAATTAGGTTTTGTGAGCCTTCTTATAAAGGCCCCAGATAAGGACTACCACTGTTGTGACGGTCAAGCTTTCCACATTATTGAATGGCACACAGATCCAGCTAAAAATATGTATATGGTAGAGAGGCACTCAAGCAATCTGGTTAATGTGTTATATTTAAAGGAAGCAGCTTTAAAAAGGAGAGCTGGGAGTGTGTGAGAGAAAGGGAATTGTTGTGATGAAACACCAGTTTAGGAAGTACTCTAATGAAATTGGATTAAATTAAATGTTCTGTCATACTGTTTTTGCCCTAATCCTAAAACTAATTTAGTGCTCCAGGCATATTGTCTTTAAAATAAACATTGATTTTTTGCTAAGGCATGAAGAGGCCCTTGGAAATAAGTGTCCACAAATTTAAAATTGTTTCAGAAAATCAGCATTATTGTCACCTACTTTTTTTTTTTACTGTCCATTAATTTTTTGGTGGGGCAAGGTGACATTATAGGCACATGAAATTTGCTCTTGTTAAAGGAAAGATTCACTGTGGTATACTGCACCACAGGTGCATGTTTGCTTCTTTTATGTGACTGTCCTTAAAAACAAATTGTTTTTCAAAGGAGGTTAAAAAATTAAAGGGTAGCTGGCATACACAATATATAGTATATTTACAGCTGGTCTGGTAATTAACTGGGAAATACATGTCCTCAAAATCATGCACGTGATTGCCAGGAGGTCTCGTTAACTGTAGCACTGCATAAGCCTTCTGGTGGCTGATTAACAAGAAGAATACTCATATACTTAAAGTTAAGCACATGCCAAAGTGTTTGCAGGGTCAGAGCCAGGGCCGGCTCCAGGCATCAACTTGGCAAGCAGGTTCTTGGGGCGGCCACTTCGGAGAGGGGTGGCACGTCCAGCTATTTGGCGGCAAATCGGCGGACGGTCCCTCACTCCTGCTCGGAGCGAAGGACCTCCCGCTGAATTGCCACCGCAGATCGCGATCGCGGCTGTTTTTTTGTTTTGTTTTGTTTTTTGGCTGCTTGGGGTGGCCAAAACCCTGGAGCCGGCCCTGATCAGAGCCCTAGTTGTTACTTATGAAACTGTAGCTGGTACAACACTTTTGGACTGAAATACAATTTTCATGTATATCAATTCTTTAATACTGCTGCTAAACCCGCTATTGTGAAACAAGGATCTGAATTAACCCTAGCAAAGTGTCTTGTCCAGTAGAAAATCCCCTTGGTACTCTCAGCATTGAAAGTTCACAGCTTCTGCAGAAGGCCAACTTAATGAGAGGAAAGATCAGCCTGTTCCAGAAGCCCAAAACCCCACAAACAGCTTTCCACTTAGCATTGTGCCTAACGGCAGAATTTCCGTTAGTTTATGGCTGGTCACCTGGTACTGGCTTTCCTTGTTTCCAGGGGCTTGGTAACATCAAAATACAGCAAAAAAAGATAATATTTTCATAACTATACTTTCCCATGTAAACAATTCCTGTTATCACAGCAAAGTTACAAGTTCATGAGTGGGGGAAAAGGTGGCCAGTGCACTCACGTTTGCAGAAAGATGTAGTCCACAGACATTTTAAGATGTGGTATATATTGTGAAAAAGTTTGAGATTCCCTAATTTAAAAAAATCTCTTTTCCTCCTCAACTATAGCTGTGCAGCAAATGGATGAACCTAGAACAGGAGTCATGCATAACCAAAAGGAAAGGGGGCGTGGGCATAGCAGTGGGTTAGCAGCTGGTAAAGCTTTTTGGCCAGAGAACTTTTCAGTGCAAAGGTATTCTAGTCACATTTTTTATATCTGGGATGTGCATCTTGGGCCTTCTGTTGTTCTTCCCTCACAGACTTCCATTCCTGAAGTAAGTCAGGGAGAGCCGTTCATAGCATGCTTTGGGATCTATCTTCCCATGCGTTGTAGGATCTCATCTATACTACAAATAGAATTGTACTGAGGACCTGGTTGCAACCACAGTTATCCTCTAATACAGTTAAACTATGGTTCCATTTTAAAGCAGACAGCCATGATTGGAATCAACAGCTCGTTTTGTCAGCTTTGGACTGTGGTAACCTTCTAAGTTCATGTCAAGCTGACTAATTTCTGTGGGGAAAAAACACCTCCATGTCAGAACCACCCCCGTTCTGAGGAAATCTGCGGACAAGCTCGATGCAGTGTCCTTCTTAAGAAGTCTGATTGCCATATGTAGAAATTGAGTTGAGGAGTCTACACGACTCCATTGTGGAGAAGCAGGAAGCACAGAAGGTCTATTGTGATGGCTCTTAACCTTTTCAGAGTACTGTAACTCTTTCAGGAGTCTGATTTGTCTTGTCCCCCACAAAAAAGTTTCACCTCACTTAAAAACTATGTGCTTACAAAATCAGACATAAAAACACAAAAATGTCACAGCACACTATTACTGAAAAATTGCTGACTTTCTCATTTTTACCATATAATTATAAAATAAATCAATTGGAATATAAATATTGTACAGTACTTACATTTCACTGTATAGTCTATAGAGCAGTATAAAGTCATTATATGAAA